CCATGTTGCCTATATCGTGGTTGATATGAGCGTTTGTAGCAGAGTTTTTCCATGCACTCGAGGCAGAAGCAGCCCTTGGAAAGCTGATATACATCAATTTTTCTACTTCAATAGCGACAAAAACTAAGCAACAGCTCCGATAAAAAGTATTCTATTAGAGTATTTTCGTCTTCGATACCTGCGGATCGTAATGCGTAGTAACTCGACATGGTCTTTATAGCAACCAGTCAGAATTCTCCGACGTATTTCTAAGTTCTAATCTTTCTACGCTATCACTTATTTTGCGAATATCCGATTCACAATTTGGTTGGTTTACATACAAACGTCAAGTCACCCGAAATACACTGTACCATCAAGCTTGCGTCACCATATCACCAAAACGAAATTCCTACCTTTGTAATTCAGTTCAATTTGAAAAATGCAAGCACTTGCAACTAGCAAAAGCAATTCTAAAAATTATGGTTTCAAAGTTTTTAATTAGCCAAAGGCTACTCTACTGACTTAATACTCTACCGCCTGATTGATATGCTTTATCATACCTCTTCGTAGAGAGACACAATTTGTTTTAACCCCTTAACAAAGGGTTACATCCTCATTATGTGCCCGGGTGCTGGTCTCGAATCCTGGTCTTTTGGATAGTGCCTCTTACGCCTTAACCACTACATCACTACACCAAATTGTGTTTCCAACGTCTTAAACAACTGTATACGAGATTATGCAAAATCTTGAGAAACGAATACAAATTAATGATAGGTGGGCTGTTTCATTAATTCAACTGAGACAAAAGGGCCTATGAATTATTGCTGGAGAGGCCCTTTAAAAAAGGTCTTGGAGATTTAGGATTGCTTGTTCGCAACAGTTTTAACGGTCAACAAAGTAAACAAAATGATGTCTCATTATTTATATGGTCTTTTGCGAAATGAAATTTTTAAGGGGCGTTTTATATGATAACAACAATGCAATAACGAAACAAATGAACTCCAACCAGGAACTAGTTGTTCTTGCTAGTACCTCCATATTTGGACCTTTTCTATCTAGAGATACCCACTTATCGTCCCGAAACGTTGAGGAACAATTTTTTTGCCCATGATTTTGTCAATGAATCATTTAAAATTTTCCATTAATATTGTTTCACAAACAACTTCTTCAGCAATAAATGGCTCTTAGATTTTCAATAAATTGTCTATATTATGCACTGATCTCTGACTTGGTTTGGTACTTATCTCTGTGGATTTAAGCATCTATTTCAGCATCAATTAGCTCAAACACCTATAGTCATGATAAGAATTGCATTAACATTGAATGCGACATTCTCGGTGAATGTGAGGCAACAATGAGAAAATCGAATCAACGCATAAATATGCAAGTCAAGCGGTCAATTCTAGTCAGTAAAGAAAAGTTATCGTTTAAACGATCTTAACCCTATAATGAAAAGGCAATTTTACCTTTTTTTTATTAAATAAGTTCGTTCAAATTATTAATTAAGCTTATTCTGATGAGCACTGCAATTTGTGAATCAGCCAATGCCTGAAATTTGAATGCCTGGAATCCCACATCATTTTTTCTTTTTCGCACAATAATTTCACAATGGCTTTGAAGAAACATACATTTTGAAACATGTTACTGAAGCTTTTCGTCTGGTACTCTGCAAAGTGTAAAACGTCAGAACTGGTGCATGGAAAGGTACATCTCGGGAGAAACTGTATCAAGAGCTTGGGGGGGTGGGAATCGCTTAACCACAGACGTCGGTGCAGGCGCTCTTTATATTTTTTCAAGTTTGCAAACAACCTAACACCGAATTATACAAGGCAGCCTCTTCCACCCTTCCATATCCAAATATCGTCTTCTTAGACCAGCTATAATCAGGAAAATACATACAAGAGCGATGAACGTTGGTGCAAGCTTCTATCCAAGCTGTCTTTTGGAATGGAATAAACTTGCCTCGGAGATAAGACAATCGCCAAACCTGGGCATGTTCAAAAGAAACTTTCTCACTTATTCGTCAACTAACAAACCCAGTCTACACCATTCACCACCCAAAAGGCTTGGCAATTCTAACACAACTTCGTATGGGTCTAAGTATTTGGAACCTTCACAGATTTAAACACAACTTTGGAAACACAGTTAATCCAATGTACTCGATAAACGATGGAGTTGAGGACACGGAACACTTTTTGCTGCTCTGCCATAGCCACAGTGTACAAAGACAGGATCTTCTCGATGCCAAAGATTTTTTTACAACCTCAAGGTCTATCAAACCTTTCTTTTGAAGTGCTTCTTAAAATCCTACTTGATGACGATGAAAGTTGCCACTTATGTCGAATACTATTTTCCTTGAGGCTACAATAAAGTATATAAACGCAACAGAATGTTTTGATTGAACCAATGCTACCTTTCAGTACTTTATTGTGTAGCTATTGCTCTTTCTTCTCCTCATATTAGTATTATTAGAATGCATATTAAGTAGTATGTATATCAAGTAATTAAGTAATTTTTGTAACTATGTAATATGATGTCGAGTGTAATAGTTGTAATAGTTCCGCAAAGGTCCGGGCCATGACCAGGCGGACCAGGATATTGTAAAAGTATTGAAAAATCGAGAGATTATTATGAATTCCTGTGAAGTAGTCCAATTTTGTCCATCCGCAAAATTTAGTACCTGACTAAGTTTGTAAAAAACTTCCACAAAAATAATAAGGTGATAAATTCGAAAAGTGAAGTGAAACTTTATCCCTTACATCTAAATTCAAGCTGAATTTCATTCATTTTTTTGCTATATTGAATAAAGTGTTTTATGGAAAGTCGTTTGATATGTAAAAATCATCTTATTGGCTAAGCAAAGTTTGTCTTTCCTCACGGAAAAAGGTTAAATAAGTTAAGCTTTCGAGCCATTGTTGAGCTAAGCCAAACGTAACAAATAGGATTTACACAATTTTGTGCCAATTCCCTTATAGATTACAAGCAAAAGCCACACACAATTCGTCCTTAATGCTAGCAGCTGTGAGCTACGGAGCCTTATCAGGGAGGTACGCGATGAAAGTCTGAGTTTTTGCCGGATAGATTGGTTAACGAAATGCATAATAGTGTCTTCAGAGGAGCAAGACAATCAGAAAAATGAGCCTGGCTCTAAAGAGGTTAGCGGTTTTATGCAACTGCTATTTTCTGCACTAAACAAGACATTCATTGAAATTCTAAAGCCAACCCTTGTTATCAACTTTTTTTGTCCTGTTGCAGAGTCAAAGAAATTTTAAATACTTACTGTCATAAATGCCATACTTACATGGCACTTTTAAGGACTTCAGCTGGGGAGTTAAGCTCTTATCTATATCAGAAGATGAAAATTCTCGCTGGAGCGGGGGAACATGCACCCTAATTAGTGTTAGAAAGGCAATTCATTATTATCACTGATAACAAACACGAAAGAACAAAATGTATCTTTTACTTATGAAAATTCTTTTATGTTCATGGGATGGCTAAACTACAAAAATAGATTATCATCTAGATGAATCGGTGCACCCACATTTTAAGCACTAAAATTGTGGAACCAGAGCTCAGCCTGTGCACGGGCATGAGATATTCTAGCTACCGTTACTGATTTTGTTTTCTCACTTTACTTGTTCATGCAAATGAACTGCCGCTAAAGGCATGATGCTAATGCATCACAATTTTGCTGAGTTTGCAATCATCAGTGAGTGCATCTCATCTTTCGCGCCAATTTTTTGTAAGAAACAGTAAATGCAAAAGTAGGTTGCACATCATTTTGCAAAATTTATAAAATATTTGAACAGCCTTACGCTGAGTGCTCAACTTTGTCTTTTGTTAGTTAGTTAGTTAGTTAGTTAGTTAGTTATGATATTTCTTCACGTTGAGGACTTGAATTTACAAATTGATGGAAAACAGTACAAAAGCTGCATTGATTTCATGGCAAATTCTGCTTTGCGGAAACGAGATGATAAAGCAAACAACATTTTCAAGGAAGGTAGGATTGCCTTTTTCTTTTTATTTGTTTGCAATCATCTATTTGCACAGCTCTTTTCCTCTTTCAAACTTTTGGTAGCTTCACTTCTGAAGCATGACAGCTTTTAATACTTCTTTTTAATTCTAACTTCTTTTTCTATGAATCCACTGGAATTGAACTAAACGAGTGTATTACGAAGAGAGTTCAAATCATGTTTGATTTTCCACTGTTCTGAGTTTGTCTTAACATGCACCAAGCAAACAAAAAAAATCTGTCTTGAACAATCTCTAGAAGGCTTTATGCGCTCTATTTGAAGCTCGAAAAATTAAGAGCAGTGCAGAGAGGTAACAGTCATATTGAGATCACACTTTGAAGGTGCAAGACAGGGTTGGCTTATTTTCTGATTTTGATTTTTGATAACAAGGGTTGTGTAGTCTGATATTGATAAAATGATGGATAAATAGGTGAAATCTTACCAGAGTTAAATTAAAGAGAGGCGTCCATCATTTAATTGATTAGCCCTAAGGCTATAGAGTACCGAAGTGTGACGTCATCAAAATATTTTTATAGAATTTCTCAATTTTGACCACATAATGTGAAAGAACGAGATAAAAGACCTTTCATAGTGCAAAATCAGCTAGATATGTTCAAAATTTGGCGAGATATGACCAATGAAAAATTGCTGTTATTCTGGCCTGGTTCATAAAGTTATGAACCAAGACCAAGTTCACACGATACCGGATTTTCATATCGGATAGGCCCTCTGTTCACACGATGATGTTTGAATCCGATACGCTCCGTAGCCATATCTAGCCAATTCGTAATGCTCACATGGCCATATCTTAGCCAATTCGTAACGCCTCTAATCGATTTTGCACAATTGGAGGTATTTTATGATGGGATCTCCGTTTATGGGATCAAAATTCAAAAATTCTAAAAATAGATCTTTATGACGCCATCACTTCGGTATTCTATATTTTTTGCAATTCGTTTGCTAGGCTGGACAAAGCGTGGGTCTCACTTTGCTTGGCAAAGTCTTATTACAAAAGTGCAGTTCGCTATTTTACAAATGTGTTTTCTTCGGTATAACCCTGCTCGTACCTTTGGGAATCTATTTTGCCATTGCAGTTTTGTTGCTTTTAGGTAGGGCTGGTGAATCGGATATAGCGGGAAAAAGGAATTTTTTTTGTTCCCTTCCTCCACAAAATCCTTTTCACTTTGGGTTTGGTGTAACCTCTCTTAGTGACCTCTTCCTATAAAAAGGTTTATACTTGGTTGAGTGATTTGCCCCGATGCACAAACTGCCGAACTCGATCGATGATGTGAAAAAGGTGCCTCACGACTAGCTTTTTGATTTATGTGGTATGTTGTTCTGAGAGAGCATTTTTGCCCTTCAAGCTGTTTTATGACTTTCTGTCATTACCTGAAAAAATTTAGGCAAAGATTGTGAGCTTAAAGTCACCAAGTCCATCTTGAAGGAAGTAGAAACTTCAGAAAACCTTTATGTTTTGTATCAGAAAGGTTATTTCTTGTTTCGTCGAATATCTTTGATTTGAATTGGATTTTCTTAGGAGTTTTAATGACAAGCAAAAATTGAATTAATCATTTGTTTAAAGATGGTGCATAAATCTAATAGCTACGTAGAAGCTAATTAATCTGGAATATTTAGAATATTTACAATATAAAAAGTGTAAGTAAGCAAGTGAAGAATTGAAAAGGATATAAAAGACTTGAAGTTTAGATAAAGCCTACTCTGCTATCATGTTAACATGTAGAAATAAATATTTTACACAACCCGCTGTCATGTTAACATGTCTTTCTTCCTCTCACATTACTTGCAATCCACACCTGGACATAAATTATCTGCCCAATTTTTGTCTGTATCAGATGTCTATGCTCTGAAGGGTCAGTTCTTCAATGTGCTATGTTTTTGCTTTTTGGTCTAATCTAAATAGAAAGAAACAAGCTGCCATAGCCGCATTTATTGAATCATTTTCAAATTCTTGCAAACGTTTTGCGAAAACGTAGAATTTGTGATCACCTTTCATTCGTTTATTGATAAATCATCATTTTTTAGATAAGAAGGGCTAAGCCCTAATTATTAGGGTAGCCAATTTTATTATGCTAGCCATGAGCATCTAATTATAACGCTCCTGGCTGTTGTGTGATTGTTATGCTAAAAATTGTTGACTTTAGATTTTTATCAGTGTATTAACGTATGGGTCATCCTCACAGGGGTCATCCTCACAGGGGTCATCCTCACAGGGGTCATCCTCACAGGGGTCATCCTCACAGGGGTCATCCTCACAGGGGTCATCCTCACACGGGTCATCCTCACTGTGTCTGTAGAAGTTGATGTATTATGTTATCTAGGATGTCAAAACTAGCTGTCATGAATCATTTTTTCATAAAGATTTTAAATATCATGCCTCTCATAAATTAGATATAAATTTTATTTTAAAAAGTTGCAGATTTTGAAAAATCTTTTTCTAAATGCAAAATTTATTTTCAGTCATCTTCCTCGACATTTTGTTATGTGATGATGTTAAAACTTCAAAAGAAATTTTTGAGACTTTCAGTAGAATTTCTAAAGACTTTCTGAAACCCACACTGATAATCAATACTGGATGCAAAGATCGTAACCAATTAGCAAGTCCATTGCATGCCGCCAAGTAAGTAGTGTTTAATTGCTACTTAATGGTGTTTAAGAAAGTAGTGGAATATTATCATCATAGAAAGTTATCTTGAAAGTTGATTTTTACTGGCAAGAAAGCCTTTTTGCAGATACATTGCAATTTGCTTGAAAGTGTTTACAGTATGGAATAAAAAGTGAGAAAAACGGAAAATGGTCATGGCACTGCATGTCACACGCTAGAAGCGGCTGTTTGTTAGGAATACCCCGGATTTCAATTTATATATCAAATAAAGGGTGTTATTTATGTTATCATATTCTTTTATTTCCAATCAAGATTGCTTTTACCGTAGTACTACTGTGTTTCTGCCAGTGGAGCCTGAATTATTAAACGCTTTTAAAGCAAACATGGATGAATGTCAAAATCCTGTAAGCATTATCACGTTATTTTTGTGATTTGGATGATTATTTAATCTTTCCTTTATCCATACATTAGTTGATTAATGGTTTTAACTCTTCTGCAACAATCTTTTTATTGACTTTTAAGAAACATTTCCACTTGATAATTTGACTCAAATTCAATCTTCTCCTTGCCACTTTCTCCAGTATATTCAGACTGCAAAAAAAATCAGTTCAAATAGTTTTCTTCTTAATCTTAACAGATATTTGCTGTCAACGTCAAAGATAGTACATCAGACCTCTATTCATTAATGAAAGAAACAATTCTCAAAGGTATGATCATTTCTCAATTGTTTTTTATGCAAAATCAGTTTTTTATATAACAGTTGTGCATTTATATTTAATCAACTTAGTAATGTTTCCGTTGCGTGTCAATTTAGTAAAGTCTTATGTTCTGTTGAGTCTTGTTGTGTTGGTGAAAGCCTTTTTACGATAATGTGTTTGTCTCTCAACATGTAGTGAGAGTTATGTTCAAATAAATCTTATATTTTTGATGATACTAGGGAAAGAATAGAAAATCAAACTGACAAAATTTGAATTTCAGTACTATCAAACTCTGTTTGTTATCTATAAAATGCTAGATACACAGGCCTTAAAACGCAGCAACTGTTTAAAACCTAGTTTTTAGACTTAAAGTAATGATTGCATACTTACGAGTGGTCTACCATTTTATAGCAAACTTAAATTAGTTATAAAATAGCCCTGCAAAGGTTAAGAATGAGGTCCTTTATTTCTCTTTTCAAGCCAAGTTTCACTAATTGAATTTTTATTATTTTCTCCACAATTAATCTTTCACCTAACAATCATTGAAGAGGTTGATATATGCAATTATTGTTAATGAAATTATTCAAATTACTTTTTAGGTAGCAAGAGCCTACAATTGTTTGAGACATATCAGTTGATTTTTTGGTTAATCGAGTGTGGATACAGACAACAAGTATTAGATATAATGATGAAGAAAGGATATGAAAATGCGGTGAAGCTTTGCATATTCTATTTTGTCAACGCGTTTACTTTGTTTTAAACGTAAGCAAGATAGGAAGCTAATATCCTGGGTACAAAAGCCACAAAAATTCGAGAGCGGAAATAGAAGATGGGATTGAAGAAGCGGTGGTACCTCCTTCGCTGATCTGCTTGGCATTCTGTTTACGGGCTCGAAATTTTGTGGCTCTGGTACCCAGTACCCAGGGGAGGAAACTATGGTAGTAATGTCAAATGTAAAAAGCAATTAAGCAAGCAAAGATTTCTTGAGAACAAGAATTTTCACTTATATTGATTATAGGATATGAATTGATAAGGTTTATAAAAATATGTTGACGTCACTGCGAATATCGCCTGCTGTTTTTTGCTAAATGCATGCAACAGTTTTCATCCATTTGAAAAATAAACCATTTTTAGAAAAATTAAGAACATTTTTTCTTAGTTTCTTTTACCACAAAATTGCATGTTTTAATGTTTTTCCTGTTTTCAAAAAGTTTGCATTTGTCATGGACAAGTACCTGACCACGCAAAATTCAACGAAGATTGGATCACTGCTCAAAAATTATCGGTTTAATCTCGATGCTTATGTGACAAAACGAGAGAAAGATATATTCGATGAAGGAAAGCATTTTAACTACGACCTACATCGGGTATGACCTACTTATATGAACCTTTCTTGCTACACACTCTTTTTAAAGAATATTTCTTATAAGAATATTCAGGCTCAGAGTCATCAAACATTTAAGAATGTTATAAGAATATGGCTCAGCCTTGACTCTCATATTTGCATTTCATTTCCCTTTAAACAATTGCAACTGGTGCTTGGGCATAGGCTCGATTCCGTAGATATTAGGATACTCACATAAACCAAGTAAATGTTCCCTGAGAAATTATTTCTCGTTCATTCTGATTTCCATTTGCTTTGCTAACAAAAAGACAACTCCCCTCTTGACCAGCTTCTGCTCAGGACATCGAGAAAAACAGTCACGAGTTTTCCAGAGAATAAGGGCAATTTGCTTGTTTGTAAATTTTTTGTTTCGTGCATCATGGGCTTTGTCACAAAGAAAATTCTGCCAGGTAGACATGAACAAAGTTGAGATATCAAAGGCTCATTAGTATTTCTATGCGAAAGAGAATGTTTTGAAGCTGGCACATTTTGCGTGAAAGTCTTGAAGGTGGCACATTTGATTTAACAAGGTATATTGTTTAATCAGGTACCTAAAAGTATCTGATGACAAAGAAAATTATTACCCATAATTATCTGTGAATAAAAATTTCTAGTGACCCTCCTGGGCTTGAAGACGACAAACTCAGGATGCAAAAAAGAGTTGCCTTTTACAAACGTTCGTTATTTTTTCTATCAATATGAGTAAATCAGAATTTTCCCCAAACATACAGCCTACCCAAAAACATTTTTTTTCATCGCAATCATGGGCCTATTTTTGGCTGTCTGGCGTATTGCGTTTCAGACTTTGGCTCTCATGTGTCTTTTGCTTGTCAACAACTTGCCAAATCGATATCGGGCCTTTTTGCTTCAGATTTTTAGAGTTTATGACTAAAAATAATTGCGTACAGAGAGTGGGGAAATTGGGTAGGTTTCTCACTTAACGACAATTTGCATCGATGTTTGCAATCGATTATTTCTTAGAAAAAAGAAGCAAAATAAAGATATCATGTAATGCTCATACTGACTAAGATCTTTGACTGTTCAAGATGATATCAATGGTCCAATCCGTATAAATAGATACAGCCTAAAGTGAGTTGTTGAATGATGGAGGGTCTATAGACGACTCTATGCAAACCAAATTCATTTGAAATGCTAAGCTTTCTTATACTGATTACATATTTAACGACTGTTTTTTGATGATCCAATTCATATTCCTCTGTAGAGTCCAAGTAAAGTATACACATCACTCATCAAAGTGAGTTGGTACATTATTAATCCTTATCTTTCTTTGTGAAGGGCATTGAATTCATCTTGCAAATCTAAAAATTCGGCCTCAAAAAGATTTGAATCAGTTTGGCACAGAATTGTTGATTGTACTTTGAGCAACATCTTTTCCATTTGTACTTTGAGCAGCATCAAGAAATGCTTCAGGACATCAGAATTTCTATTTTCGTTTTTGTGCAACCTCAAAACGAATTATTTCTTTTTCTCAAAGATTTAAAAAATAAAATCTAACATAAGTCACATTGTTTTGAGAACATCCTCTTTTTTGCAGAAAAATGGCGACGAAGAGATGTTAAAAAACGCCCTCTTGTTGCTGACTGATGAAAACCTCAACTTCAACCGGGAGGTGAGAAAAGATGACTATTGTTTCTTTTAAATTCTGAGAAGAATTTATATTTTAACATGTTTTACTTTTAGAAAGGCATTGATGATAAACATATGAAATTCTTAAAAAATCTTATGTTTGAAACAATGAATGCTTTCTTTGATGAAAATCGCCCCAGTGTATTTACGTCCATTTTATATTTTGGCAAAATAATAAAAAGAGAAATCCAGCAGTTTTCTCTTTCCAACAGCAAGCAAATCTAACAGCAATCACAATAATACTTTACAGCAACCACGATAATACTTTACAGCAATCATGGTCATACTTACTGCAATCACGATCATGCTTCACGACAATCATGATCATGTTTACAGCAATCACGATAATACTTTACAGCAATCACGGTCATACTTACTGCAATCACGATCATGCTTCACGACAATCATGATCATGTTTACAGCAATCACGATAATACTTTACAGCAATCACGATAATTCTTCACAGCAATCACGATAATACTTCACAGCAATCACGATAATACTTTACAGCAATCACGATCATACTTACAGCAATCACGATTATGCTTTGCGGCAATCAAATCATACTTACAGCAATCACGATCGTGCTTTACGGCAATCATGATCATGTTTACAGCAATCACGATAATGCTTACAACAATCACGATCATACTTTACAGCAAATCACGATCATGCCAACAGCAATTACGATTGTTAAACGTGCAGAGTTGTGCCAAAGGACAGCAACATTTTAATTTCTACAAGACCCTCTTTGTTTCTTTTTAATTTATGCACGCGCTGACCAACGTTTACCTCTAACCTTTTGTTGCTTTGTTTATTGCTTTGTTTATAAAATATTCTCGTACCCAGTCTCCATAACTATATATTCTGTGCACACGTTTTTTGGGCGTTGTATTTGGTTATATCGTTGAAGTAAAGTGATGAAGAGTTCAATGTAAAAGGACACGGAGTGCGTTTCTCAAAAGCGGAAGACTTGCAAAGTGGCGGCACGTGTAAATATAGTTGGTCATGCTTTGCAAATATAGTTACAGAGGCAAACAGATTGTCAGTAATTTATTGTTCTTAATTATATTAATTATACTATTGTTCTTAATTAAATTCGTTTTCATAGATATTCGCCTAACCTATTTCACATTGACTACCCGCTTTTTCCTTTATCAACTGCAAATTTGTATTTAATTTTGTTGTAGCAAACCATGTTTTGAGTTATCAGATTGCGTTGATTTTTTGTGATTCCTGGTGAGAATCAGGGTTGGGTTTGAGCTTTAGTCACGTTGGGTGCCATATTAGTTTCAATCTAGCCTTTCGGAAAAAGAATGGAAGAAGAAAACGCCAAAGGGGTGAAGTCTGCAGATTTGCTGTCTTTGGCTATGGTGGACCGGACATCAAAGAAGCTGAAGAACGTCAGTTGACGAATGCAATACGGAAGGTATCCGATGTATTGACGGTGGATGAAGATGTTGCTGGGGTGGAAAAATCTGTGGTGTGCATGGGAAATAAGTTTAATGATTTTAGCAAAACCCGCAGTAATTACCGCCAGCTGTTAGAAGATGAAGATGACATTGAAGAATGTGTGATTTTCATGCAGCAGAAACACGGTTTTTGAAAGACAGAATGGCATTTTGGAAGGAGTCAGCAAAGCGGAATGTAGACATCAAATTTGATGACAGCAATATCAGAGCAGAAGACTCGGTGAGCCAGACGAAGTCTCATTCTTCTCGCAGGAGCATGCACTCTAAATATTCAAGAAGTTCCCATGTTTGTAGTCTTGACAAGGCAATGGTGAGAATTTCGACAAAACGAGCCTCGGTGCTGTCATAACCTGCACTTTGAGGTTAACGCAAGAGAGAAACTATCACTTCACAAACATAACATAACATAACCTGTAAGCATCATACAGCGAATAGTAATCTTTCATAAGACAATAGGCTTGCTAAATAGAGTATTTGCTCCATAGGGAGTCCATAGTGTAAAACTATTTACAAGGACATGACAGGTGCTAGCTGAAGCATCGATGATGGAAAGACGTCAGAGCCTTGCAAATGAGGAAATACGGTTGAAATGCGAAAGAATGAGACTAAATCAAATGAAATGGAGGTTGGATATGGAGACAGAAATTGCGAAGGTCGAGGCTGAAGAAAAAGCCTGTACAGAGCTTGTCCATTCAATAGAGAAACACTTTGAAGAAAGGGGAAATGAAATGGTGCTGAGTACAATGGACCATGCTTTGCGAAGACTGACCGAAAATGAAACTATGTTGACAAAGACGAGAGAGCAGTTTTCATCTAAACCTTCAATGGTTTTGAAGCAACCAGACACAGCAATCATGCCTCAGTAAACTATGCATATGGCACACCCCAACCCGAGCCATAACCCCATGTTTGCGACACACCCTTGCCCCTTACCTTGCCTTTATTCTGTGAGCAGTCAAGCGCCAATTGAAGCTGATGGTGAGCTACCAAACCAGTGCCTAACATCTGGATTGAGTCCTGGTGCTATTCCATGGCAACAACGTTCTACAAGAGAAACATTGCATCACGAGGCAAAGGTAAAAATGTACTAGGATGTCAGCACAATGCCATTCCAATAAAAGTGAGCTAGATGAAGGTGGAGACGAGTATCTTGAGACGATGAATAGATTGGCAGTCGCTTCATTGTTACCTAAATCAGAGTTGGCAGTTTTTGATGGTAACCCCTTGAAACATGTTGTCTTCACTCGATGCTTTGAAAACAATGTTGAAAAGGATACAAACGATTTTCTAAAGAACTACAATTAATGATTCAGTATTGCACTGGAAAGGCCAAAGGGGTAATAGAAAGATGAATTTTACTGGGACAAGAAGAAGGCTATTGGAAAGCAAAAAACATGCTTGCAGAGAGATTTGGCAACGTTTTCAAGGTTTTCATACGCGTGGGTGGAACAGGTATCAAGTGGACCTTTGATAAGACCAAGATGCACTACAAGAATTAGCAGACGATCTCGAAAGCTGTGAAAAATCATTCAAAGCTACAGGAAGAATTGGAAAAGTTAACAACGAAGACAAGCTAGTCCGGATTTTGAAGAGATGCACTGTGTTTGTCAGATCAAGATGGCAGTCATGTGTCCAAGAAATTTGATCAAAAGGACAAAATCCAAATGTAGGGGTCGTTAGAAAACTGATCAAGGCTGTCGCTATGGAGAGAAACGACCCTGTCTTTGGTGCACTTTTGGATGGTGAAGGATTCTGTATCTTCGACGCGGATGGGTACACGACAAGGACATACAACTATGAGACCAGCACCTCAACGAAACATGAATTTCAGCATATAAACGAGTGGTGAAAATTTGAGAGCGTTGGTGAAAATGTGAAATGCTATTACTTTAAAAAGCATCATAAACTGGAGAGCTGTGACGAGTTTAGAAAGCTGCCTGGCGAAGATAAATTCAGGTTTATGCGTGAGAATAAACTTTGTGACAATTTTTTATCCTTATTTCATTTTCTGCTAGTTGCAAGCAAAAATGTTATTGTACATTGTATGGATGTGGAATTAAACGCAAAAAATTTGTCGGCAATTCATGATGCCCTTGCTAAATTTGATGAAAGACTCAATAACAAGCTGAAAAAGACAGTTTGAGGAGATCAACAAGATGTGAAACGTGAGCAGAAGCAATTCGTGGGACTAGCAAACCAGACAGAGGCCGGCCGCGACGGCCAAGCATTGTCCATAGTTCAAGTAAAGGTGAAAGCTAGAGGAAAATGAAAAATCATTGAAACTTATGCTTTGCTTGACAGTGGCTTAACAGCAACGTTTTGTGATGTCGAATTGATGAAAAACCTGAACAAGGAGGGACGAAATTGTCAAATATCACTGGCAACAATCGATGGTTACAAAGAAGATTTGATGTCATCATTAGGGAGCTAAGAAGTGATGGATTTAGATAAAGAAATAAAGTTAATCTTTCCAATGTGTTTTCAGTCCAACGATTGAATGTGTCAAAAGATGCTATGGCAACACAAGGAGATGTAGAAAGATTGGCCTATCTGCAAGGTGTGGAGCAACCTAGAACGATTGATCATGGAAAAGTAAGCCTTTTGATTGGTGTCGATTTACCTAAAGCATTAAAACTAGTGGAAATACGCAGATCAATAAATGGAGGACAATATGCTGTCAAAACAAAGTTTGATTGCACTCTGAATAGACCACTGGATTCCTCAAACAGAAGTGCTTATTGCATGTTTGTAGTATCTATGCATGTAGTATCTATGCAGTCAGCTTAAGAGCCATTTCAATCAGATTTTCAGCGAATCAATAACCGACGATACGAAGAAGCTGTCAGTGCAAGATAAGCGTGCTTTGAAAACATTCGAAGAATCAGTTCAGTTGGTGAATGGTCATTACCAGATTGCAATTCCATGGAAATAGGGACAACCTTGTATGGCAAAAAATCGACAGGTTGCAGAAAAACGTTCGGGATATCTACAAAGGAGACTCTTTCAAGACTCAAGTTTGAAACAAAGGTATACATCATTTATTGATGACTTACTTGACAAAGGGTATGCACACAGAGCTCCTGACCAGCAGCTGGAATGCAGAGATGGTAAAATTTGGTATTTGCCGCACCCAGTGACGAAGCTAGCCAAAAATTGTTGGTCTTGCTGTATGTACAGGGCCACGCCCTTATTCAATAGGAAACGCCCATGAATAAAAATTCTTTTTTGCAGATGAATTTTTTCTTAAATTCAGTAAAAAGCAAATTTTAAATCGATGTCTATCTTTTGAAAAATAAACCCATACTTAAAGACGTGCTTTAGGGTGCTTACTTTTCAAGCAAATCTATGTTAAATTGTAGTAAGCCTCTACAGCGGAAGTAAAAGTTCAAATTGGGGATAACTAAATTTGACAATAAAAGGGGGTAGGGGTGGCATTTAAAGTTGCATATCATATATTTGTGGTAGTTGAAATAGTCTAATTAGACTATTCCAGATATTGGTCCAATCTAGATCAATCTAGACACACTATTAAAATACCTGACCAATCTAGATACTCTATTAAAATAATTTTAATAAACAACAGAGTTTAAAGTCTGTAGGGGCAAGTTCACAAATTCTGCAAAACAATTATTCTGCAGCTGACAAAGAGAGATACAATTGAATAATGTGTCGCTTTATCAAAGAAAACAACTTCATTAGCCAAACCATTAGACGAGTAAACAATTCAGGTAGAAAAATACACTTTCATACTAGCAGTTCAGCATTCAGTTCATCGGTATTCAACATAGCAATCAGTCGCCCGTTAATCTCTTACAAATGCAAATTGCGCTGAAATTGGTTTATTCTCCAACTCCAAAATTTCAATCACACAACAGTAAATTCAATTATGCTTTCATCGTCCTTGTCCAAGTCTAAGAAAATCTTATTCGTTTAGGCCACCATGATATACCGTGCCTCAAACGATCGTATGAAAGCCGAAATCAGTGTGCCAATCCTTGTTGTTTACCATTTCTTTCTCGCTAACTTTGGACTCTGTCTTGTTACAAATAAAATTTATGCAGTTCAACTGAGGCAAGTTTTGCTGTCAATAATAATATCATTGGTATTGCCAAATCAAGCAGGAAATCCACATTCACAGCGCTTCGCCATAATACTTGAACTGGCCTCCTTGCTAGTGTTTCATAGCAGAACGAGAATGCACAGGGCATTTCTTGCAGTCCTGCTCTCAAAAATAGCAGGACCAAAGGTTTTCAAAACAATACTTTTTGACCTATGTGGGTGAACCCTCAACCAATCAAATCACTACTGCTTACGAACTGTTATGATGATCATTTCGACGAGGTCCTGCTCCCGAGATTGAGCAGGACTGCTCATTGCTCTAGACTATTGTGAAGCAGGACTAAATTTACAAAAGCCCATTGTGAAGCAGGACCAAACATAGGGTATCACAGTTATGAGCAGGACCAAAATACAGGGTTAAACCGTATAAAAGAACAGGACCTTGAGACTAGCGTGGGATGCCTGTATCAGCTGGCGGAACTGGGGACTGTTTATCAAATAGAATTTAAAACTTCCTTTTTGCAAAGAAGAAATTGTTGATTGTTTACAGTAAAACCTATCTTTGGAAATTCTTGGTCCTGTTCAGCAGGACCAGCAGGACTTTTGGCTTCGCCACTGGCCGCACCACAATGTAATCCATTCAAAGAAACCAGATAAAGTGAGGTTAATTTTTAACTGTACTGCAAAGTACAATGGCGAGTCATTAAATGACAAGGTTCTTCAGGGCTTAGATTTGACGAATAGCCTGATTGGTGTATTGTGCAGATTCAAACAAGAAACTGTAGAGATGATGGCAGATATAGAGGCAATGTTCTACTAGGTGCGTGTACATCCTAAAGATCTGAATGCATTGAGATTTCTTTGGTATCACCATGGCAATTTGTCTGCTGAGCCACATGAATATCAGATGATGGCACATCGGTTTGGAGGTGTTTGGTCACCTAGCTGCGCACGTTTTGCTTTAAAGAAGACGGCATTGAACAACAATGAAAAGTTTGATTCTCATGTGCCAGGACAGTTAACCGAAGTTTCTATGTTGATGACTTACTGAAATCAGTAGAGAAGCCAGAAGAAGCAATAAGATTGAGTAAGCAGCTTTGTGAGATGCTCTCTTATGGTGGATTTCGTCTTACAAAATCAATCAGTAACAGCAGAGCAGTCCTGAATGCAATACCACAAACTGAATGGTCTAAAGAGTTGAAAGATATCAGCCTTGAGAATGAAGAGCTTCCAACAGAGCGAGCCTTAGGACTTCGATGGGATGCAGAGGCTGACAAGTTTACATTTAAGATCTGGTGCAAGAACAAGCCATTGACTCGTAGAAGACTGCACAGTAAAATTTCTTCCGTTTATGATCCTGTTGGTTTTGTTTCTCTTTTTGCTTTAAATGCAAAGAAAATTCTCCAAAAATTGTGTCTCGAGAAGAAAGTATGGGATGACGAGATAGCTGATGCAGATCTCACAAGCAAGGCGGAATTCGTTTTCTTCCAATTAGATGCTTTTTTGCAATTTTCTTTTAGCCAATCAGAGCTCACCAATTTTGTCTAGCTTGTTTACAACTTACTCAAATGCACCTCTAGCCGTGGAGGAAAAGCACTACTGGAGTTTAGGCCACCATGAAAACATATTTAAGAAAAAACCAACCAAAATTAAAAAATTACAATGTTCATAAAATTTACTAAAAAATTACCGCTGCTTTTGAGTGAAATCGAAATGAAATTCCAGAAATCGCAAGCCAAACTTTTTATATCTCACGAGGGGCTTAGGCCCATTTTTTAGGCTGGCCAAAAAGCTCAACTTAAAGTGACAGGTCTAAAAATATTGGCTCTCTGGTCAATCTTACGGTAAATTTTTGTTTTGTTCAGTTTATTGTTCGTGTAATTCTTAATTTGCACTTTAAGTTAATTTGCACTTAATTTGCACTTTATTCACTTTAATTTGTTCGTGTAATTCTTACTAGGCCTAACCTATTTTATCTGCTTTTCCATTGACTACCTGCTTTTCCTTTTATCAACTGCAAATTTGTATTTAATTTTGTTCTGTAGTAGACCTGTCACTTTAAGTTGAGCTTTTTGGCCATTTTATCCACCAACAGCATTGTAGATGGGAGGAGTCTGGGAACGTCTGATAAGGTCAATTAGAAAGTCTACGGTGCAATGTTAAGAAACCAAACATTAAAAGATAAAGCACTGGTTACATTACTATGTGAAGTGGAGGCAATTTTGAATGGAAGCCCGCTTACTAAAGTATCAGATGGAAGAGATTTTAATGCATTTACACCCAACCATCTATTACTTTTGAAATCTAACGAAAGTTTTCCACCTGGAATTTGCAACAAGAATGATGATTACTGCAGAAGAATTTCAAAAGAAAGAGAAAATATCAATTTTTCCTTAAAAGTCTCGACTATTTTTGTATCAGATATAACCCTGTGTTCGTGGCCTCCTCCAAACTATTTGCAACACATTTACATTTGCATGTTTAGAGGTATTTCATGATGCTCTTTCATCCTATTGTATCGATGTTAAAAATTCTTAGAAAAGACCTTTTTGACGTCATAATTTGATGACTTTGTAAAAATGCAATTTAGAGCATGGGACTACTACGACTTGAACAACAGAATTGGTTGCATATTGTTTGTATTGTGTTGTATTTAATAGTAAAGTGGATAGAAATCTTTACATAAAAAATTTATGCACATAAAAAGTGTAAATAAATTTTTTGTATCATATTTTGTGCTTCCCAAAAGTCTTAGCCCTCTTGCTTTGCCCCCTCAGATTTTTTCACCTTCAGGAGCTGTTTCTATTGATAAAAGAAAAAGGCTAGAAGGATTTTGGAACTTTAGACAAGATATTTTAGACCTCCTATCTTCCCCATCTAACTATTTCCACGATACACAAAATTTACCCTAAGAAACATTTCAGATATTTTAGTTTGCTTCTAACCAGGTTCGTGCCATAATTTATGCCCCTATGTTGTTGACAACAGGAACTAGCAGACAGCTTACTTTCGTGCATCTCAAAATCCTTGAGGTACTAAGCATGCGTTGATGATCATGATAATAATGGAACTAAAAAGCTCCAGCGCAGAAGCCTCAATATTATCATCATATCTTACAACTTCTTCGTATCTGCTTTATTTATTGGGCATTGTTAAAGTTATGAAGCTATTTGTTTTTAATACACCATCAGAACTTCTATTAAGATTTTGTAAAAAAGTCGTAGCTAATGGAAATTTTGAGAGATTCGAGTAGTTTTAGGTTCACAGGAAGATTTGCAGAGATTTGGAAAGGGGGTGTACGCGATTCTTGAAGTAAAATGGCCCCTGGTAACAGCCATGCAGTTTAAGCAACATTGTGTAAACGAAGCGTGCCTGTCTTGATTCATACCCACTTCACTGAGTACTGAAGTCACATTTCCAAAAAAATTGCTTTGTAGCAAATGAGCTCATTGGAGCAGATGATGATTAGCAGAGCACTGGCCATCCAACCAGATCAGGCCTTTGTTTTCTGGAAACACGAGGAACTGCACCCATTATCAAATGCATTAATGATGCGCAACCTGCTTAAAGGAATAATTGATTCCCAAATCTACGAAGAAGAGGGTATTCCCAAGAAACTAGCTGAGTCAGTAATGTGAGTATTTCTACCAACATTTTTATTTAACTTGCTGATAAATTGAAAACGTCTCCTATGGGTCTCTGTTTAGAAAAGTTTTTCTAAATCCTCATTGTAACTGCAAAACATAAAAAGTATTGAAAATGGCTATTTGAGAGTAAGTAGCTTTGGTATTCTTCAAGTTAGTTAGAGAATCGGTTATTTATAGGTTAGGCTCTTTTAAGGAAGTTCAAATAACATGTAAAAAGGATTTTGGTACCCACTTACCAATGATGAAAACCTGGTATGGCAATGCTATTCAATAAATCACAAACTAATCACAAACTTAGGGAGCACTCAGCAGTGGATATTCCTAAAAAAGTCTTTAATTTCAAATAACAAGCATCAAAGATGTCAAAGACATTTTAACAAAGCTAAAAAGAAAAAAGGGGGTTGATGGTGACGATGTATGGAGATCAATGGAGATCAATAGCTGGTGTTATCTCAAAGTTGATCAATCACTGTCTTGAAATTGCGATCTTCTGCTGAAAAGTGCCCCAAAGTATCACTGGTTTACAAATCAGGTAAAAGAAAAATCAATGATAACTATAAATAAATCTCTGTGAGCCCTGTTACTGCCATATCTTTGCCAAAAACTAAATTATGATAGAAAATTGAGCTGTTAAAATAAAATTAAAATGCACAATGTATGTTAAATTTAAACAGTTATTAAGTACTGTATCATTGATCAATTTGAAAATTGGTACATTATCAAATATTTAAAATGGAGAACAGAACAGATAAAATGCCATTTTCTGATAATCAACAACAATATCTACTCTATAGAAGTTAAGGACGTTCTTACACGCAGGTTTTTACTGTACTCATCCCACATTTTTCTCAAATATCATAAGAACCTTTAAAGTGTCCTTATGACTGGAGCCATTTTAATTGATCTGCTAAATGCAGGCAGATCTAGATAAAAATTTGAGGGTGTTTAGTTTTGGGTGAGGCTTGTGCCACGTCTTTCACAATTTATGGTGACTAGTATCTTTTTTTTCGTTCAGAGAGCAAGGGTTTTCCATAACTGTTTTTTAAATAACTGATTTGTAATTAATATAACTGTTTTTTAAACTTCTGGCAGTGTGCTATTTGAAATGAAACCAATACATAAAATACACCAAAATGATAATAAGAAACAATTATAATTGCTTTTCTCTTAGTTGAAATAAAAACAATGAATATTTGATTTCTTCTACTATCATTCTGACTGCTTTATCAGCCTTTTTAAAGTACAACTACTTCCAATAGATGAAAAACACTAGGTGAGCAAAAGTATTGCACCACTTTATTCAAAATTGCTGCACCGCTGCGAACTTTCTATAGCAAACCAAATTAAAAAAAGCTAAACCAAAATAAAAAAAGTTTCAAGATGACAGTAAAGGAAAGAAATAAGGGAAAATTTATGAAGATATGATAATGAAAATGAAAAATGGAAATATATAATTTGTTTCTTCTTATTTCCAAGCCATATCGACTACTACGAAAACTTGAAAACTGAGCTATGAAGATAGGAGTACTAGTTCAATCGCTTAACTCCAATTTTTGGTCAGATTGTGACAGACTGGAACAAAACACCAAACTTTATGATGATACCTTGGGGCATGGTGAGCATTTCCAGAAGGAGTGCCAGTTTCTATCGATTTTGGGGGTTAAGCTAGGGACAAAAATCATATAACGTCTTAGAAAGATCCCCAGAATGCTTTCTTTAAAATCATCTACGTATGATTGTATCAATGGAGAAAAATCAGATGACTGATATATTACTGTAAAAGATCAACATTTAAATACCGTTTTTTCTATTGCGGTACATTTAAATTTGCTCAAGATCGAGGGTCAGCACATAAACATAAAGAAATCACTGAAACTTTGCCTGGTTAAAGGTTGAGCCAGAACAGCCAGCAAACTAAGGAGCTCTGATTCAGTAATTAACTAAAAAAATTTCGGCGTTAGCTGTAGATACATGTAGGAAAGAACCTTTTTCTTTTACTGAAGCCATAGCATTAAGGAAATGCTAGCAGAACGGTTTTGAAGATTCTTCTCCCGAACAATCTAATTTCCTGTTTGCGCTTGACTATTGAATATGAAGCAGAGAAGGGTAAAGGTATTGCTGCAAATTCGATGAAAGCGCCTGCAAGTTGACGTAGAAATTCAGAGAGATGAGCTTAACTCCGTTGAGCATAATTATTCTCAACTGAAAAGAAGCAGTATTGCTAAATGCAAAACTGAAGGCAACTATACAGAAAATAAAGAGCGAAACAGCGTTACAGAGCAAGTCATGTTTCCCAGCAAGGACCGTTCAATGTGCGCTATTTTCGAGATTAAGACAGCATGAGCGGGCCTAAGTCACTCTTTGCTTGTCGTTAAGGTCTTATGCACATTCTCAGCCACTTAACTCAACTGCGAAAGTTTTTGTCAAATATGTTTGCCAAATCCAAAGTCAAATATGCTAAAGTATCGTTTAGGAAGCACTACGAGAGAAGAGAGGCTTTAACGTACACTGCTAAAGAGTTTCAAAAATATGTTGCAGAAATGTTTAAAAAATGAAAGCATTATAGATCGTCTGGTTCAAGCAGTCAAGGAATAGCAAAATTGCTTTGTAAAGAAAAACATGAAATCCGAATCAGACAGAATTTTGCTTATTCATGTTTACTTTGTTTACGCCTTAGTTTATCAGATCCCACGGGCCAAAGCCCCATTCAGATCTTTGTGGCAGGTTAAAAGTGCTGTGCCAGTCTACCGTTGCTTAAAGTTTTCAACATCAAAAACTGGAAAATGCGAAACGAAAACGAGCTGACCGTAATGAAGAAAGAAAGTCCAAATAAAAACTGGTTGGATTTCATCATTATCAAGAAGCATGCATCTTCTGTTCCCATTCTCCCGGTTCGATGTAGAAAGAACACTACAGATTGATGGATTGATGCTGTAATTCCTTGGCTGCAAAAAGAAATGCTCAGAAAAAGGAATAAAACCAGTTTTCCCGAAAACCAGAATAAAACCGGGTAAAGTCCAGTTTTCCCGACAACCAACCTGCAATATCTGCCCTCCTGTCCTCCCACACCCTTTTCCCTTCCAAAAATCCCGTTACCTACCGGGAACGCTAATTTTACCGACAGGGAACGCCCATGACTAATTTTCGGTTACACTGCTTTTTGGCGAATTCAAATTCACAGAATCAAATTCTCCGATATTTTTTCATCGAATTAGAAGAATAACAAAATCTATCCTGCCGAAAACCGGGGAGGGAGGGCGTGTCCTCCAAGTCGTCCCTGTGGCGCTGTCGTTGCTTGATATTTTCAGACGCCTAAACTAAAGCATTTTTCATTAGGTTGTAATGTTTTAAATTGAGGTAGCCTACATTCAGAGGTAGGCTCAACGGGGCTAATGCTTGAAATTAGCATGCAAAGTTATGCTTTGACCTCAGGTTTCGAGAAATATTTAATGTACCGAAATAAAAACAAAAAGCGGTTTTGCATATGGATCATGTACAGTAATAAATTGGTTACATAAATCTTCTCGATTGATTCAATTAACATAGATTATCTCCAAAATAAACATTCTGGTGACTTTTCCATGACATGATACGATTTTATCTCTAGCTTGCTCCCCAAAATCGATAGACTGGCACTCCTTCTGGAAATGTTCTCAATGCCCCAAGGTATCACCATAAAAGTTTGGTACTTTGTTCCAGTCTGTCACGATTTTCACCTTAAGCGACTGAACTATACCTGTAATTTATTTACAACAGGAAGGTTTTACTTTGCACAAACCTGTACGATTTCATTAAGGCCAACTTGGAAATACTTACTTTTTGCTTGGTTGCTAAAGACTGTTAATTTTCTTACTTTATTAAAGTATTTTTGAGAAGTTTTGGTCGCATGTTTAACCTACTAAAAAAGTTTTTGACTGAATTTAGCAAGTCTTACAAGGAATTCAAAGCTTCGAGATTGTCCAATGAAAGTCTACCTTTTTGATATTTTAAAAAGATATCTTTCCCAAAATTAAGATTTAAAGTATTGCCAATGGTTTGAAGTTTGTTTTAATGAATTTTAATCATGCTATGACGCCTAATTTTGCCTAATTAATAGGCACACAAAATATTGTAACCTTTTTCTACAAACTTGCACACATTCAAACATATTTTTTGCTCTCGTAAAAACAAGACCTGTCCAACAAAGCTGTCATGCTCTACAGACTGGGCTCTATTTACAAACGCAGAGGTTTGTTATTTGATCTCTTGCGTCAAGTTAAAAAAATCAAACACAGGCCTAACTTCATAACACACGCTTTCGTTCTGTTAACATTTCAAAAGAAATGTTTCAATTTATAAGAAGGTGATTGGTTGCTTCACAATCGCGGGTGCTCAAGCTCTGTCATTTTTTTATACATTTGCGGACACTTGGTCAAATATTGCAGAAAATTTCAGCACTGTTTATAAACCTATAGGCTGTCGGTTTTCAAAATGAAAAGAGCAAAGAAAGTACTAAAACATAATGTTATTAATTAGCGATGCTAGACAAATTGTTTCTAGTGTCAAGGTCACTCATTTCACCAATAGAAACAACATGTTGACGGGACCTAGAACCTCTAATGCAAATAACTGCAGTTCTGAGTAAGCAAAAACTCAGCTTTCTTTTGACACAGGAAAGGTTTCCTGAAATTTTGATGATGTTTGTCAGCAATTAATCCCGAAACACGTTTGAAAAATTTCCTTCTTTCAATGCTCATATCAACATTGCATGAGAAAATCAAAAGGGAAAATTTCTGTTTTCTTGATTCATAACAACCTGGTTGTATTTTCTCTGTTTCTCGATATATTCTGAAGGTTGCAGCTAAGATTTTGCAGCGATAGCTAGGAGCGATAGGGTAAAATACCCTCACATCAACAAATGCTCTTTGCATACGTTGCCAAAAGCCTCTTGCACTTACTTCAGCACGCAATTCTACCCCATTCTCGGATTGTTGCAAACAAGGTTCATTGCACACATCCTTGCATACAGTTGGCAGCAAATCAACAGTGAGATCACTCATTTCATTATGACGGAGGGTGACAAAGCCCCCAATCTGGCATGAAAGAGCATGATCGACGTGAAACTTTGCCTTACAAACCATTTTGAATGAAGATTTTTTAAGTTTTATGCATACCTCAAATAAACAACATCATCAAAAGCACGTTTTTTGAGGCTGAAATTTTTAGATTTTAAAGGCAACGAAGAAAGCCATATTGATGCACCCTCAGAGCAAGCAATGCCGTTTGCCTTACATTGAGCAGATGTCATATTTTCCCGAAGAAAGGCAGTTACACTTTGATAGGATCCTAACCATCCGATGTAATGTTGATCTAGGTGTCTTTGAAAATTTTCTTGCACGTTCTACTTTTGCTGGCTTCACGATTAGCCACAACTTAGAAGGTTTAGGATAATAACCAACATTTGGCGCCACTTTCAGCAAATCTTCCCACTATGTCAACAGAGGTTGTTATTCACCGGCTGAGATCAAATCGTCGGCATATGTAACTTGTTTCGTGTCGTTTGTTGACACCGACTCCAAGAGTAGAACTGTAGCAAGCGCATAAACTGGCATTACTGCTGCGTTGTACCTTCTTGTGATTCAATCTCTGCTCCACCGATTACGAACAGTCTCGCATTTTGATTACAACAGTTTATCACATACGTTGCAATAATAGGACTTACAATCCTGATATTATGCAGCATGACTTTCCTATCGATACGGTTGAATGCCTTGTCAGCATCAGCTAACAGAACAGCATCACATTCCTTTTCATCAAAAATATCTTTCATGGCATGTACTGCAGCTTCACAACCTGCTCTTTGACCAGCACATAACTGAAAATCTCATGCGCTGTCCATTATTTCTGTCCAAAATGTTCTCATGACTACTCTAGCAATAATTCGTATCAAAGCCTCACCAACACCAATTGGGCGAAAACCAGGATTTTTTATCCAATGGTATCAGCCTGCAGGCAAGGAAAGATTCCAAAGAATTGTTATCGTCACAGAAGCGCTTTGAACACATCTTTCTGGCGCTTTGAACACATCAATACAATCATATGCATACTCACCAATCGATAATTCTGGACCTTGTAACAGGAGATTTTTAAACTTCTCTTCACCATCTGGATGCTTGTTTTAAAGCAGCTGTAGAGTTGTGTCATCCAGAAGTAAAATACCATTCCTTTGTGCATAAGATAAAAGCTTCAGAGCGGCATTTATCTTGCCGTTGATTACAAAACCGTTCAATTTCTTGGCAACATGTCTCAATGTTGTCCGCTCGCCTATATTAACTAAAATTGGATTAACTAAAGCGAGCTTCTCTGACAAGTTCATCAAAGCTTCCACTTTGCCAAAAAAACTAAAACAAAAATTCGAAAAATTGCTCAAGCACCCATAGCACCCTGCAAAGTTCGCTTCTGGATTAAGGGTTGTGGGTATCTTAAGCACCCACCGATCTTGGTTCTCTTCCTGTTAATAATGACCCACTCTATTGAGGTTGGTGACCTGCTGACCAGATAGACAATGTAAGTTGAAACAGTAAAAAATAGTTTCATACGAAAACATTAAGCTGGCAGCGGAATGAGTGGAACGGTCTGCCGCTTTCTCCAACGCTCCCAACTTTTTTGAGTAAGCACTGTTTTATTTCATCCATGCACCAAGCGGCAAATATAGGCCAGTTAATCTTTGTTCACCGCTTCCAAATCCAAATACAAAATGGTTTCCAAATCCCTGAATGGTAAGTCGCCGTCCTACATGAGTGACATGTTCACTAGGGTTAGCAAATCAACCTATCGCGTACTACAGAATTCTAATATTAACTTAAGAACTCCATATTGAAGGACATCAGCTGGTCAGAGATATTTCTCATTCAGAGGGCCGAGTCTCTGGAACGGGTTAAACGATAAAGCAAAAATCAACCAACTCTAATGAGACTTAAGGAAGTCTAATAAAACCCAGCATGGCATGAGTCGCAATATTTTTTATATGCTAGTTTTCTAATCTTATTTTTCAAAATCTTATCGTATTGTTTCTATTACATTTATTTTAACTTAAATGGTGTCAAAAAACATGACCCCCTGTAAAGAGGTCTAACTAAGGGGCTACCATGCCTAAAAATTGAAAATGATTTGAAATTTAATTTCTTGCGTTTAAAAAGTTATCCATCTTCATGCAAAAATCAAACGGGATAAAACTGTGGAGCATGATTGTAATAAAATGTTTATCTGCTGTGCATATAGTCCTTGGTCCTCAATCGATGTTGTGAATATTCCAGCTGCATTTTCCAGGTTTCCTTTGAACTTATAGTTCCAAGACCTTTGCCTACAGCTGAAGTTAAGGCCTTCATCATACCTTGTTTAATAGTGACGTCCTTCTTAATTTTTGGTCCCCAAGGTTGGATCTTCCGGCAAGGAAAGAGCTTTCCAGTCCTTATCTGGTGCAGAGTATTCTTAGAGCAGCTCGAGCTACTATTAAGGAAAGGCAAATAGAAAGCCCCGTACTTCTACAAGTTTACAGAAACAAGTTTCTCACGACCGATAAAGTAATAGGGCGCTATGCCAAGAAAAATTCAAGATTAGTGTTTAGTCTAGTCAGCAAAGAAGGACAAAAACTTTGGTCAGTTTAGTGCTTCCAATGCTCATGAATTGAATGGAATTTTTCTACACTTTATTCTTTTGAGACATTTATAACATCCTGGAAATCATTACTTCTTGAATGTCTGCTTGATTTCTATTGAACACAGTGATTGAGTCTTTCTTGTAAAAACTTTGTACAAGTTTTATAAGTTTTTGCATGTCTCTTTTTTCCACCCGTTTCTCAACATTTGGGTGCCCCCTTTGGGTGTGATGCCCTAAGCACGTGCTTAGTTTGCTTAAGGGTTTATCCATTCCTGACTGTGTGAGACCCATATCTAAACATCCTATCAAGGAACTATGCTGGCTTGAGAGCTATCTGATCAATAGAAAGCAGATTGTGTCATACGAGCCTTGTCGGAAATTCAAATTTTAAGATGTAAGCCTTTAGTAAAAATCTTTTTCAAGTACATTGCTATTTTTGATATTTTATCTTCTTCATGTTCCATACAGTTCCTTTATTGATAACAGTCAGTTGTTGCTGAACAGAGTTAATCTGTATAAACATGGCATCATTGTTGTTATTTTTGCTAATACTTTCATTTTATTGCTTAGACTCTTTGAGACAGTCTGCTTAGATCTCCTTGACATCTACCATGACACCAGCAAAGAACACACAATGCAATCAATAGAGAATACATATCCTGTTTGGGGGAATCGATCACTTCTAGAAATTGCAGGCGACACCGATTTTAAAGGGTTTGTTGCACATCAAGCTACTCAAGTAGTTACTTCGAAAATGTGGAATGGAAAGGTAATTCCTACAGACGTTATGCATCTAACATATCTAAAATGTATGGTTTGGAGTAGATCGAAATAAAAATATTTTTGAAATGCTCCTGTCATAAAATTGTATTTTGCATCATTCTAATAAAATATTGCAAAAATCAAGTTCCTGTTACCAGATAAAAACGCACACAAATTCCCGCACACTCTCAAACCATTGTGTTGCTCTTTAGTGCACATGACCCTGGAGATCATCATTGAGTTTTACGATCTATAGGTACATACATAAATGATTCAACTTGGAAAAATGTTGTCTCTATTTCCCAACCTGTTTACAACAGGTTTTTCCATTCAATTAGGTAAGCTTAGCAAACTTTCAAAAGCCTGCAAAACAGCTGCTAGAATAATCACAGAAAGTCATTGAGCTACTACAGGAATAGATAGAAAGTGAGGTAGCTTCTATTACATACAAAGCATCGTCAGGTCTTTCGTCCGTTTATCTTTTAAGCATGTTCAAGAAAAACTGTACACGTGACGTGACATGAAATATAATTTGCATATATTGTATGTCAATGACTTTTCCAAAAGGATAAACACTTACACTGCGCAAAAGCAATTCATTTCTAAAATGCATAGTCTAAAGCTATATCTGATCAAACTGCCTTTGGGTTTCAAACTTCTGATTGTCTCACTTTCTTGTTGTTTCTAAAGGTAGACTGAAGAGCATTTGACCCAGAGCCGATGCCAATTGGGGCATGGGAGGGCGCGTCACACTCCCCCCTAAAGGCTATTTGTGGGTAAAGCTGAATGCTTATAACTGGCTTTAAAAAAAGCAATCATTTCACAACATATTAACTAAAAGCTTTTTCGTCTGACACTCCTCAGAGCATAAAACTTCAAAATCAGGGTCCGAAAGAACACGATGAAAAAATATATACCCAGTTGTAAATCGAAATAGGCCGATCAGAAAAATGCAAGCACAAGACCGGTATAGTTGACCAATCAGTGCCGCGTGCCTAAAGAAAAATTTGTCAAAGCCATTTTCAAGTTATGTACCGCCAAAAAATTGTTCACATTTTTCAAGCAGAGGTACACTAAACAGGAGATGAATGCTTATCTGAAAATGTAAGGACTCTCCAGAACTCACATCCCAACGACTGGCTGATGATAGTCTTCTTGGCTTTCCATATTTCATCAATAGCGATTTGGCTTTTGATCGATTAATTTTATGTTGAATTGAATGAAAATAGACAAAGTTAGTCCATAAAACGTCAGAATGAGGGTCGAAGAGAACACGCCATAACTTTGTCATAAGTCAAGTCTTCATAATTTCTAACAATTCTCAAGGATGGTATTATAACTTCTTAAATTATTATCTTTCTGAGAATTGGACTATTATTAACGAGGCTATGCGTGTAGGTATAAATAATAAAGTGTGAGAGTCTCCTTCTTAAAAATTTTCCGTTCTCTAGGCGGCTTTAAAGAGCTCACCGAGCCCACTTCCTTTAGGTGTGACAAGAACGAGTATTGATATCGCCAGTGCAAAAGCTATTGAGGTGGGACAAAAGTTTGGAGAGCAACGATGTGGCGCTGAGAGCAGTGAAGAAGAAGAGCACCATGACACAATTCCTGAGCCCTCAGCTGAAGAGAGGAATTTCCACAAAGATCTGAATTCTCCGCGCTCGAAAATACGGAAATTTCAGCAGAAACTGCAGATATTGATAAAACATCTCAATTTCAAGAAACGGCAGGTGGAGCTGGTTGCACAAAATATGTCGAAATGTTAAAAAAGCCAGTTACTAGCCAAGTGGAAGATTTCTTCAAATTTCATCCACAGCTTCCAACTGTTGGAAAAATGCCATTTGATATCAAAAAAGCATTCAAAAGAACAACATCAACAGGCACTGAAATTGAAAGTAATTGACTCACTTTTGATAATGACAAGAAAACATTGTATTGCTCCCAAATTTTGCCGAGGCCTATCAGCTTGTAAAACCTATCGTCGAGTCAGATGAGAAGCTTAACAGGAACATAGACAAGATTGTTGAAACAAGCACGAGAGCTCTAACAAAGCGTGCAAAAGATGGTAACCATAATGGGAACTATGGTCGAGGATCTCTAGTGACATTCTTAAGTCATGACATAACGAACAGGATCATCAATATCGTAAAAGGTTTTATCCGAGGAACGATTGTTAATGAAGCAAGGAGAGCTGGAATGTTTTCGGTCGAGATGGACACAACACAAGACATCACAACTCAAGATCAGTGCTCCATTGTTTTACGATACGTTCATGATGGTGATGTCCATGAAAGGTTACTTTAGCTTGTAAAAACAACATCAACCAGTGGAGAGTCATTGTTTGTGCTTTTAAAGGACACTCTTGAGAAATACAACATAGACATAAGAAACTGCGTGTGAGATTCTTTTGATGGTGCACCATATATGAGTGGTACTTACAACGGATTTGCAGCAAAGATTTAAAATGTTGCTAGCTTACACGTACACACCTGGTGCTACAGTCATCTCTTGAATTTGGTTCTCAGTGATGCAGCATCTACAAGTACGCTTGTAACAACCCACTTTGAAATTCTGCAAAAATCTCCTATATTTTTCAAGCAAGCTCACAAGAGAATGGATGTTGGGGAACAAGCGCTGGAAAAAGCAGGAAGACCTACCAGAAGGCTTCATCCTATTAGTGAAACCAGGTGGCTTTCAAAGTCACAAGCTCTGACGAAATATTTGACATTTTTTCAGAACCAGACAAAGGCCTATATGCAGAAAAGCTTTTGGCGCTTTATGCAATAGCTAATGACACATCATTCCAAGAATCAACTCGCAGCGATGCGAAGGTTTTAATGGATCACTTTCAGAAATTCGAAACGATCCTAACAGCGTTCATATTCTTGAGAATCTACAGCATAACAACTCCGTTTTGTATTTGCAGACAAAAGGTTTGGACATCCTTCAAGCATGGAGGATGGTTGAAGCAAAAAGCAAAAAAACATACATATCAACGACATATCAAGATATTTTGAAAGCAGTCACACAAAAGCCGAGGAATTTTGTGAAATAGTGAACGAAGCACTGGATGAATCAAATTTGAAAGTCGATAATGCCTTACCGAAGAAAAGAGTACGCCGGTAAAAGCGCTTGGATGGTGAGCAATGCCAAGATGAAACAGTTGTAGATGAGCTGCAGTCATTTATAGGGAATACCTTCAATTTGTTAATAGAAAGCTTAGTCACAAATGTGAAGAAAATATTTTTAGACCATGAGATGCTGTACAAAGATTTATCTTGTTTTGATTCAGAACGCTTCCAGGAGCTCCGAACGTCCGGAATTCCAGCAGCTGCCATATTCAACATTTGCAATCTCCTAGGGAGCAGGGTGAACAAAGATAATCTGCCTATGCAGCTTGAGAGTTTTGCCAATTCATTTCCGAGGCTTGCTATGTCATTGCCAGAAGAATTTGATACTATCAGATGGGATGAAGATGGAGCAGAAGTCGATGTCGCTACTTACAAGCAGTCCTTAGAGCGTTGTTTATTGTGTTTCACTTGTGCCTATAACGTTCTGCACGAGCATAATTTGAACTGTGTAACGTACTCCTATACAGTCTATAAAATTTTGCTGACACTTGCAGTTATGCAGGTGGAATGTGAAAGAAATTTCTCAAAATTGAAGCTGATCAAAACCAGGTAGAGGTCATCCCTAAGACAAGAAAATCTAGAGTCCTTCATGCTGATAAGCATCGAAAGTCAGATCCTCAGCAAGATTTCTAGTAACAAAGTTATTGACAAACTAGCCATAACATCAAAGGAAATGAAAAGATTGCTTATTATTTGACAATGAATATCATAATTTCATCAATCGTTTTTAGAACTGGAACATTTGTAAAAAGTAACTTTGTTCAGACGTTTCGTCTTAGGTTCAGAAAATTAGGATTTATTTTCAGTTACTTTCTTGTGTTTGCGGTTTTTTGTTGACCAATTGGTTGGACAGACATAATCATTGTCAGTGATTATAACGATAATTCCCACATGTAACATATTTCGCAATGGTATCTTAAAAGCCATTCTTCAAAACATTGCCCCAGGTAGCAGACACTCTAGAAATTTTGGTACCTAGGTCAGAGACATATATGATATTCAAAACATTAGCTCAGCTGCTGTAATGTTTTAATTCAAGTTAGTTCGAACCCAATCCTTGAAACGGCTCTGTGATGAGCTCGAGAGCCATTTTCTCAAGGATTACCTTTGCAAGGGAATTCATGAAAAACAGAAATTACCTTGAAACTCTCTTGCTCAATTATCGAAAATTTCTAGTTAAAATCAGCAAGTCGCCATCGCTTTCTGTTGCATTAAAGAATTCACATTTATAACTCATTACTGTTTCTCACGTAAATTTTAAAGTGAGATAGATAGTTTTGTCAAGTACCATGTGTCTTGCAATTAGTTACATCAATCGTTTCTGTGGAACCAGAAGTTGCTAGATCTAATTTTCGGACAAGTTCGTCACACAAAGCATGGATCCCTTTTCGACGAATTTTCCAGGGTCCTTCATTTTTGCCACGCCGCTACTGGGCATGCGGCACTGATTGGTTAACTATACTGATCTTGTGCTTGCGTTTTTCTAATTCGCCTATTTCAGTCCACAACTGGGTATATTTTTTCATCGTAATCTCTCAGACCCACTGATAAAGCAAGTGGCAAAAGCGATGAAAAAGATGTATATTCAGACTTTTGCTATGTGCTGAAGATGCTGAAGTAACCGACTAGTTCCTTAGTTTTCCAGACAAGCTCAATTTTTATTAGAATAAACCAAAATTTGCTATATAGAGATCACAGTCAAAAAGCCAATTTGCTTTGGTGAAAGCAACACCCTTGTTATTTAGGGATGTAGTGGTGGAGGGCTAGGCGGGGCGCAGCCACCCTGCTCGTTTGTTCTTGAACATATCCAAGAATCATGTAATGCAAAGAAAGCGGTGAAGAATGGTCACTTCACCACAGATCAGCTATTGATACCTAAACCAGAATTGGAAAAGAAAACAACTGAGAGATTTAAACACTTCATATGCATGAAATTATACACAAAGTTTGACATGTAAATGGATAGAAAGTTCTTCAATAATTGCTTACTGAACATGTTTAGTTGGATTTTTGTATAAACAGTTGGTTTGTTATTGTTGCATTTAGAAATGGAGGAAATTACCTGACTCAACAAATGGTTGCTATTATTTGACCCTGTCTTGCCTACTTCTTATTTTTGAACAATTTCAAGCTCTGGTGTTCTTAATATTGTTCAGTTGTTGTTATTTCAAATTTTATTTTTCTATATCTGCAAACTTGTTAATTCTTTCTAGGTCCACTGAATAACAGTTCTGCAGGACATTTTTAGGAGCACTGTTCATTAACTCTAATGAAATCTCACCTGTTTTGTTAACACGAGAGAAAATCTATCAATTCAAAATCAAACCAATGGGTCATCATTATTAAAAGGAAAGCTCTTCCTTATAGATGCTATAAATATTTTATATGCATTTTCTGGCCATTCTTAGAATGCTATATCTCGAAAATTTTCTCGCCGCCATCTCTGGTGGCCGCTTTCACTGAACCCCTGAGCAATTGGATATTTGCCCCCCTCACCTGCAATGGAGTTTCCCCTGGTCCTTCTTATGGTATCAATGTACTGATCTCACCTGCTGCTCAACACTGTCAATGTACTTGGAATTCAACCACTTGCTGGATAACCATCAACCCTCGTCATGTATAAATTTTAATGATTACATGACAAGATCAACCTAGAAATTTCACAGAGCCCCCCTTGGTAAAATTTTACGACTACACCCCTGCTGCTATTGTTCTCCGGTCTAAGTTTCCTGGCCATCTCAGACTCTTTGAAAACTTAATCCAAGCGAATTAAACCAATACGTGGTTAAGAAAGATCAGTTAACAAAGAATCGTCAGATAAAATTGAAATAAATAAAGCTATTAGCAATGATCTTAGAAAGTTGGACACCTAGCATAGAGGTTACAAAGTTCATATGCATATTCCGAATACTCATATAATGCTGGTTTCTAATAAACAGAAACCATACATCCTCAGAAGTCCGTATGCCAATCTGTATGTGAAATTTCCTACCATGAACTTCAAGTTATTCGAAAACAGAATACCACAATAAATAATTCATTGCTTCTTGGAATTGTAATGCAAAATCAAAGCCGTATTTGCAGTCTTTTCTCACAGAAGGAAATACTTGTTTTAATAGGACAATATCCCATTCTCTGTTTTAGGACCAGATGCATTCTTCTATGCTTTCACCAATAACGAAGTTCTATTTGCATACGGTGAGGTATCCCCATTAATCTATGTTAGCTGCATGATCATAATCAAGGAACTGTCATTTGTGCCATTGACTGGTTTATAAATCAGAATTTTTGCTGCGGAAATTTCTTGTTCAGTGGATTATCTTAGACCTCAATTTGATGAAAAAATTTCAATGATCTGTTATATTTTTTCTTTTGATTTGATCTTGATCATAGATTTTAGATTGAGAGGCGTTGAAACTTTAATTTTGACCAGCATTATTCTTTTCCTACAGGCCATGCATATTTTGTCATTCGTCATGATGCTGTTTGTAGTTGTAGACGAAAAGCATAATGCACATAATTACATAATTTGGCTGACATTCACCATTGTGACTTCACTACTGGTTGACGAAATAAGACAGGTAGCTACTTCTGTCTAAATTACATGGAACACTGAGCTGTTTTTATTATTCATGCCGTGTCCAAATATTACCACTTTCATCACCTCTTCTCCAGAACAATGTTGATAGCTTAGGCGATCAAACAATTTACACAAAAATTTACTTCCTAATCTCATACATCGTTCTTCTAGAGAGCCAGCATTGTTCCCAAGGGCAGATTGTTGAAATTTTTCTTGAAAACTGACGTTAGTGCTCCAAGACTTTGACTAGGAATGTAACTGGCCTAACTGTTTCTTCTTTACAAAAAAGCACAATTGAAAAATCCCTTTTCAAACTTTATCTAGAATTTTTATCTATGCAATCAAATCTAGAAAAATTTTTCATTTCAGCTTCTTGGAAGAAACAAAACGATGTGGGCTTGCACAAAAAAGTATTTTTCACAAGTTTGGAATATACTAGATATAGTAACAATTTTCCTGTTCTACCTTGGCTTTGGAATCCATTTCTTTCACATAGTGGCTGCTGATATCCATTTGTCTCTATTTGCTTTGCTGTGGTGTCTAAAAACTGGCCAATATTTGCGAGTGTCTCGGAGTTATGGACCATTTGTGATAATGGTTTTAAAAATGGTAAGATAACAGAAACGGAGAAAAAAGGTTGCTGAAATAGATTTTTCTCAATTTTCTGCTTAAACACACAAGTAGTAAGCTTAGTTGTTTGTCACAAGATATTAGTAAATATAATATAGAATGCAAAGATTAATAGCTTTAGGAATTTCTGGAGACCAATATCGGCAGCACTGCACAGCCTTAATAGCTCCTTTTCACCAATTAATAGGCCTGTAATCATGTACTTGAAAACTAACATTTCAAATAGCGTTTGCCATGACTGATGTAAGGAGAAAAGACCAGGGGGTTCGTAAACATGTTTGTCATTTTAAAGAAAGCCAGAGGCAAATGTATACGCTGTAGTAAGAAGCAGCAAAAACACTTGGCTGACGTTAAAATCACTTCAAAATCCTACTAATCATAAGCACTAAAATTCTCCTAAAGCCTTTGAAGTTAGCAAGACCAACCACAATTTCAAATCTTTGTATTTCCAACAGATTTCCATAAATTAAAAAAATAAAGAGGATCTTCAACAGTTGAAGCTTATTCAGTTAATTTGCGCATAACATGGTTGTGGCCAAACATGACTGCCTCAAACAAAGTGTTTTAGATAACCAAAGCAAATGCATTTTAACCTGCCTGAACACCGTAACCTTTAATAAGGCCGTTTCAACAGATTCTAACATGGCACCAAATAAATATACTCCAGTTTTTTTTGAGTCCTAAAAATATCAAAGGTTGTTTACAGGTTAGCGAAAACATCTAAAAAAGAATCCATTTATGAACTAAAAATTTTTCTACCAAGCAAAAATGTCTGACAAAGATAAATATTGGGAAAATTAACGCAATTCGTAATTTAAACCAGATCAAACACCAAAATAGATATAAGGACAATATTGATAATATTAGTAAACGAATGTATAGACTGTATAGTTTTCAACTGTTAAAAGCTGTTATAAATGTGTGTCCAGTAAAAAAAGCGGTTTTGAGGACCCAAAATGTATTTAATAGAAAGAAGCATTACTTGTGATTAATTTATAAAAGAATCTAAAAATTTAAGCTACGAGGTTTCAATGCAAGGGTATTATAGTTTTTTTGCCATAGTTAGTCACTTGGGGAATTTGGCCCAACCAAATTAAAGCGGTAAGTTTACTCACTTTATGCAAAGATGGGGTCAAAAGAGATGCTTTGTGCATTCAAGAGTCTCGACTCTTTGAGTGCTGGAATATCTATATGATATGAAAGTTTATAAACAAATTAAAGTTAAAAGTTGTAATACGATATAAAAAGAGGTACAGGACTGTGAAAAAATTATTTTAGGCGTCAAATGGAATCTGGAGATGTTTTTATTTGCGAGAACATCGATGTGAGAAAAATGGGCGGGGATAGTTGCAGCTCCCTTATCAGACAAAATTTGTCATATCTAGGGCTCCACTCTGACTCTAAACGTTTAACATTCGCTTGGCCCATATGCGAGAACCATTACCAGAGTTATATGTTTAGCTTAAAAGGTTGAGAAAGAGTCAATGCTATGTTTTTTTATTATCATTTATTATTATCTATAGGACCATATTTGAACTTGCCGTACCTCAAAGAATAAACTGTGAAATTTTCGTTTCAGTATCTTGCATAGTTTCAGAGAAAATTGCATTCATACACAGATAAATCAAGATTTTTGGTTTCATATACAAAATCAGAAATCGAAGGGTTTACTTTGTACGAGTTAGCGAGTAAGATCTTTGGAGTGGAAATTCGAGAATTACACCATGCTTGTAAATATACGTTGTAAATATTTTTATATATAGTAGAGGTTGATTCACAAGAATGCTCCTCAATCGTGTTAAACTGCAACCTACGATCACAACAAACGCAAATGGTTTTGGTCAATCAAAACTAATACAATTTGACTTGTGAAGATTTTTTGGCCGTATTCTTCAACTTTCATTATAAAATGCTACGTTGTCAATAGCTGATTTTAAAACTTGTTAATGCAGTCGAGAGGTAGCACGTCCAAAATTAGCCAGCGTCGCATCCTTCTTTCCATTTTTTTACTACTGCCCCAATGTTTTTGTCTTGGTACTATAAAACGAGGTTCTGTTTTCTCTTTCACTGATTATCTTTCTATGTTTCTACATTTTATACAATGTTATCATAAAGGTCATCAACTTTTTGTCTGATATAAGTATTTCATGTAAAGTGTATCAAAAACAATTCTGGCAGATATTGTAGCTTTTTGGTTTAGTCGCATGCAGCTACTTTTTCCTTTATATAACAGGGGTGCCAAAAAACAATTGTTTGTTTCAAATTTCTTTTTCACGAATGTAAAACAGTGAATTTGTAATGATGAATATAGGATGCATCATGAAGCATAAGTTATGTTCCTTATTCGAGAAAGTACTGTAAGTGTTTTGCAAGAGTAAGTGTTTTGCAGCCCAATGCTACCCCGTCTCTTATTCTCGCATATGACAAGTACATACCACTAGTTCAGCCAATCTCATTTAAGAATTACAATTTGTCGGACCTCCAAACATTTTATATGGAGTGACGGGTTTCAGATCACGTTCCGATTTAAATAACTAAACAATCACACAATATCTCAAACATTGCTATTTTAATTTACAGCTGGTGAGATGCAAGCATTTCATCGTCACGTCTTTCATTCTTGTTGTTGGTTATGGAGTTTTTGTGACCTCTCTGCTCTACCCGTTCTCTAATTTGGCCGATCCAAAGGTCTATCTAAGGATTATGTTCAGACCTGTGATGATATTTTTTGGTGAATTGGGAATCGCAAGCTATGATCGTAAGTCTTATATTTTCAGTACATACTTTTTGTTTCCTTAGAATACGGAAAATCTTTATTATTTCGTCATTATGTCAGATTTGTTTGCTTTCTCTAAAATTTTTATTTTACTGCTGTGCAAGTAGAGCCTTGTAAGACAACGCTCATTTTTGAACTTCCAAAAATTTACAGTTCTGGAACGCAACTATTGGCGCAATTTTTAAACCATTGAATTATTGAGACATTGCTCAAAATGCAGTAGCGATACATCGAATTAGCTTTATATTTGCTTCAGTTTTAGACAGCAAGACAGTATTTGATACAGCTAAAGTCCCCATTGCAGCAGAAGTTGTTTCAATTATTGGAATGATTGGCTTCCTGTTGCTGACAAATGTATTACTGATGAATATCCTAATAGCTGATTTCAAGTGAGCAGACCATCTTCTTCAATCAACATTTCTTTGAAAAGAAAGATATGAATGCTAGATTTTGCATTGCTTAGATGTATTTTTCTGCAGATTAAAGCAGCTCATATGAACACGAACAATGCAGTTCTTATCGCAGTAGAAAATTAGGTTATAAGATAGATTTCAGTTCTTGCATAAATTTTTTTTCCAATCTCGTTCGATTTTCGCAAACCATGCTAACAACAGCTTCGTGCTTTCCATTTCTTTCCTTAAAAACAACAAAAGTTCATAGAAATGATTTTGTGACTAGTTTCACTTGCAGATTGGGTAAAGCTTTCTCTATATCTCAATAACGCCATTGCTATTGCACATATCACAACTTTCAGCAACAAGCTTGAGAGGTTCTAAAGAAAGAAAATATTTCTTCAGGTATTCGCTTCGCTAAAATGTAGAAATATGGAAGCCGTAGACGAAAAACTTTATAAATACATCATTAAAACTAGCCAGGAAATTCGATTCATTGCCTCTTGAATAACAAAATTTTTATGGATTAAAACCTCTTCCTCCCTGTATGACACTATGACCCCGTTTACACTAGACCTGGACCAGATCAGATCCACAAGTGTCCGGATACTTTTGGATCCGATCCCTGAAATGGCAATGCGTTTACACGGGATCCGATCCAGAACCATTTGCGTTTACACGGGAACGGATCCAGATGAATCCAATTGAATACGCGCATGCGCTTTTCGAATATTGGCACGCATTTGACATTTTCAGAACTTCGTGCGTGAGCAAAACACAGTTCAGCTTGAACATGGAGGGAGGTAACACTAAAGAGGGTAAATTTTTGTGGACTGAAGAAAAAACTGCGCTACTTTTAAAAGTAGTATTGGACTACAAACTGCAAAGCTTGCAGGTGGACAGGATTGGGAAAATATGAGGACAAAGTACGACGACATATCGTCATAGTTTCGTAATAATTCTTCAACACAGTAGTCTATCAACTTGATGTTGGGTTTTCTGGCACCAAAAAGCCACCGATTACATATTCAAACTACCTTGAATTGAAAAATATTCTCTCTCACTCTCGACAGTACACCCGTTTACACGGGATCCGGTCCAAATCGGATCCATACGGGATCACCTCTGAAAGCGATACCAAAAGTGTTCGGATAGCGGATCCAAAGATATACGGATCCACCAGTTCCCGTGTAGACACAAGGCCTATCCGTATTTTTTTGGATCCGATCCCGGTCGGATACTCGTGTAAATGGGGTGTATATCTCTATTCTCGCATGTTGTTTCAATCCTATTCTTATCAGGCTCCTATTTCTCTAATGTTATCATAATTCTAAGTATTCAATCTTTACCTTATTCTCATCATCTAATCTCGATGCTAACACGATTTCGTTCCATTGTTTCTTCGTGTTATTGCTTCGATTCTATTATATAATAATATTCCTATTTCTTCAATGCTAACTAACATCAAGTTGCTCGAACCATGTATTTGTGCTTATCTACATTTGTATCGTCATTTGTTTATTGTCCATAAGCATCAGGGAAAAAAGGTTCCGAAAGATGAAAAGCCACGATGCTTTTGTAAAAAAAAGAATGCCCAAGTTAATCGTGATTCAGCAATCATGCAGCGAAACTGAAGTGATGATAGTTTTAAGATCAAGATCGTCATTTATTTAGCTGTCTTTAAATCTGTCTACATCAGAACAAACCCCGACTTGTGTAGACAGAAAATGTTAGCTTTCTCTCTCTCTCTCTCTCACTCTCCAACTTGTTTAGAGATAGCTGTTGCGATTGGTAAAAAAAGAACCAATCAAACGCGCTATTTCGCCTCTAACGTTGCTTTCGATCCATAAAAAAAGAACCAATCAAACGCGCTATTTTGCCTCTAACGTTGCCTTCGATCCATAAAAAAAGAACCAATCAAACGCGCTATTTTGCCTCTAACGTTGCTTTCGATCCATAAAAAAAGAACCAATCAAACGCGCTATTTTGCCTCTAACGTTGCTTTCGATCCATATCTAGATATAAATTTTCTGCATACATATGGACATTATCCGACGTTTATACTTTGACAAGTGTCGGACGAAAGGTACTTTAGTAGTTCCGCTGTTCCGTGCAATTTTCAAACATTAATTAGGAAGATGGAAACTTTCTATCAAAACGTCATTAAATATTACAGAGAAAATTTTTTTGAAAAGTATTTTTTTTATTCTTCATGACTTTCCATTTATGAACTAATGTTGAATATTCTGTTAATTTTCATTTATTGTATTGGAGGAAATGAATTGAAATGATGAATCAAGCTCAATCTTTTCTACTGATTTTCTATGAACAAATTAAAGCTAAAAGAACTTTCCATGTCTTTACAGCAATATTTACGTTGAAATAACCGAGAGAGCAAGAATGCACTGTGCATTTGAGGAATACGAACTGTTGGTAGAGTTTACACACAAGCCCAGTTTTCCTTTTCCGTTTTCATTGCCAGAAAGTGTTTACTTGATAGCCAGACGAATCCTTGGTTCATACAAAAGCATCGACCGTGCATCTTCATACCAAGGTAAGATGGGGCTTTCTTTCAAAGCATACAGTTTTTCCTAGAGCATCTTCACTCAAAGCAAAGTTTCTCACGTTATATAAAAACTTGTTACTGTTGTTGACCTCAGCCCTTTTTACTTTCCTTTTCGCTGTTTCTAGAATTTTCAAAACAAAGCGCGAAAAGTTTTATTATCCACTAATTGAGTAGAAGTAGTGCATAGGCTAAAACAGAAATGGCGTCACTTCAGCAAATTTTTCTAGCGAACTAAAATTCAAATGAATTACAATTTTTTTCGAAAACAATCTGATTAATCGAAATCAGTGAAAAATTTCACATTGATTTCATTTGAAAAAAATGTGATGAATTGTTGACCTTGTACGCACATAACAGATGATTTTAATTTTATGCAGTTCCTGAACAGTTGGTCAAGTTTGAGAAATACTGTATGAGAAAATATTTGAGTAAACAAGATAAAAAAGAAGACCAAGATGAAAATCTTAACAGGCGAGTAGCGTGATTAAGTTCTTTCAATTATTATAGCTTTCTTATCTTTATCTGACACGACGCTCAGTCTCACTGTTCTTCAGTCCAGTTGCTTACTGCTATAATCCAGATGAATATCGTGACAGACTGGAACAAAGCACAAAACTTTTTATGGTGATACCTTGGGGCATGGCGAATATTTCTAGAAGGTATGACAGTTTCTATCGATTTCGGGGGGTAAGCTAGAGATAACATTGTATGACGTCATAGAAAAATCACCAAATTGCTTTCTTGGAGATAATCTATGTATGTTTGAATCAATGGAGAAGATTTAGATTAAGGTGAAAATCGTGACAGACTGGAACAAAGCACAAAACTTTTTATGGTGATACCTTGGGGCATGGCGAATATTTCTAGAAGGTATGACAGTTTCTATCGATTTCGGGGGGAAAGCTAGAGATAAAATCGTATGACGTCATGGAAAAGTCACCAGAATGCTTTTTTTTTGAGATAATCTATGTATGATTGAATCAATGGAGAGGATTTAGATAACTAATTTATTGTTGTACATGATCCATATGCAAAACCGCTTTTTGTTCTTACTTCGGTACACTTAAAATTTCTCAAAACCTGGGGTCAGAGCATAACTTTGCATGCTAATTTCAAGCATTAGCCCCGTTGAGCCTACCTCTGAATGTAGGCTACCTCAATTTAAAACATTACAACCTAATGAAAAATGCTTTAGTTTAGGCGTCTGAAAATATCAAGCAACGACAGCGCCACAGGGTTGACTTGGAGGTCACGCCCTCCCTCCCCGGTTTTCGGCAGGATAGATTTTGTAATTCTTCTAATTCGATGAAAAAATATCGGAGAATTTGATTCTGTGAATTTGAATTTGAATTTGCCAAAAAGCAGTGTAACAGAAAATTAGTCATAGGCGTTCCCTATCGGTAAGATTAGCGTTGCTGGTAGATAACGGGGTTTTTTGGAAGGGAAAAGGGTGTGGCAGGACAGGAGGGCAGATATTGCAGGTTGGTTGTCGGATAGACTGGAAATGGATGCAAGATATTCTGACCAGTCGTTTTATTCCTTTTTCTTGAGTATTTCTTTTTGCAGCCAAGGAATTACAGCATAAATCCATCAATCTGTAGTGTTGTTTTTACATCGAACCGGGAGAATGGGAACAGAAGATGCATGCTTCTTGATAATGATGAAATCCAACCAGTTTTTATCTGGACTTTCTCTCTTCACTTCAGTCAGCTCGTTTTCGTTTCGCATTTTCCAGTTTTTGATGTTGCAATTTTTAAGCGACGGTAGACTGGCACAGCACTTTTAACCTGCCACAAAGATCTGAATGGGGCTTTGGCCCGTGTGATCTGATGAACTAAGGCGTGAAAAAAGTAAACATGAAATAGCAAACATTCTGTCTGATTCAGATTTTATGTTTTTCTTTACAAAGCAATTTTGCTATTCCTCGACTGCTTGAACCAGACGATCTATAATGCTTTCTTTTTTAAACTGTTCAGCAACACATTTTTGATACTCTTTAGCATTGTAACTTAAAGCCTATCTTCTCTAGTAGTGCTTCCTGAACGAAACTTTAACATATTTGACTTTGGGAAAAACTTTCGCAGTTGAGTTAAGTGACTTAGAATGTGCATAAGACCTTTTACGACAAGCAAAGTTTGACTTAGGCCAGCTCATGCTGTCTTAATTTTGATAGCGCATTGAACGGTCCTTGCTAGGAAACATGACTTGCTCTGTAACGCTGTTTCGCTCTTTATTTTCTGTATAGTTGCCTTCAGTTTTGCATTTAGCAATACTGCTTCTTTTCAGTTGAGAATAAATTGTGCTCAACGGAGTTAAGCTCATCTCTCTGAATTTCTACGTCAACTTGCAGACGCTTTCATCGAATTTTCGTAGCAATACCTTTACCCTTCTCTGCTTCATATTCAATAGTCAAGCGCAAACAGAAAATTAGATTGTTCGGGAGAAGAATCTTCAAAACCGTTCTGCTAGCATTTCCTTAATGCTATGGCTTCAGTAAAAGAAAAAGGTTTTTTCCTACATGTATCTACAGCTAATGCCGAATTTTTTTTATTTAATTACTGAATCAGAGCTCCTTACTTTGCTGGCTGTTCTGGTTCAACCTTTAACCAGGCAAAGTTTCAGTGATTTCTTTATGTTTATAGGCTGACCCTCGATCTTGAGCAAATTTAAATGTACCGCAATAGAAAAAACGGTATTTAAATGTTGATCTTTTACAGTAATATATCAGTCATCTGATTTTTCTCCATTGATACAATCATACGTAGATTATTTAAAAGAAAGGATTCTGTGGACCTTTCTAAGACGTTATATGATTTTTGTCCCTAGCTTTACCCCCCCCCCCCCGAAATCGCTAGAAACTGGCAACTCTTCTGGAAATGCTCTTCATGCCCCAAGGTATCATCATAAAGGTTTGGTGCTTTGTTCCAGTCTGTCACAATCTGACCAAAAATTGGAGTTAAGCTGGACTAGTATATGCAAATGATTTTCTGGGTATGCATTTCAGAAACCAAAAACCAACAATCAATCAATCAATTAATCAATCAATCAATCAATCAATCAATCAATCAATCAATCAATCAATCAATCAATCAATCAATCAATCAATCAATCAATCAATCAATCAATCAATCAATCAATCAATCAATCAATCAATCCATCAATCAATCAATCAATCAATCAATCAATCAATCACTTCAGCCAGTCAATCAACCAATCAATTAGTCAATCAATCAACCAATCAATCAATCAATCAATCAATCAATCAGGCAATCAATCAATCATTTAATCAATCAATCAATCAATCAATCAATCACTTCAGCCAGTCAATCAACCAATCAATTAGTCAATTTAATAATGACTAAGAGTTGTTCCAGTCTGTCACAATCTGATGGAACTTCGGGAGATCTCGCAAAGAAATTTGCAAATCTGGTACTTGAAGGGAAAATCAACGCAGCGATGAGATTATTAGATGCAAATAATGCCAGCGGTTTATTGAGTCTATCTGACAAGGTTATTGACGAATTGAAGATGAAACATCCCCCTTCAGCACCAGCGGATCCTTCGACTCTCATGGCTGTAGAGATTCCTTTCATTGACCCTGTAATGTTTGAGAACATTGATGAAACAATTATTACTAAAGCTGCGTTACATACAAAAGGTGCAGCTGGTCCCTCTGGAATGAATGCTGATGGATGGCGGAGAATTCTAGTATCCAAAAATTTTGGAAAGACGGGTGAGGAACTGAAAACAGCTTTAGCAAAATTCACACGCATACTGTGCACAAGAGATATCAACAAAGGCTCGATTGAAGCATTTGTTTCCTGTCGCTTGGTCCCTCTTGACAAGAATCCTGGAGTTCGACCAATCGGTATTGGAGAAGTATTGAGAAGGATCATTGGAAAATCAATTATCCGTGTCATTAAGCCTGATATACTCGAGAGTGGAGGATCTCTACAGTTATGCACTGGATTACCTTCAGGCTGCGAGGCTGCTGTACATGCAATGAAAGATATATTTGAAGAGGAAGAAACTGATGGCCTGTTTCTAGTGGATGCATCAAATGCCTTTAATAGCTTAAATAGAGAGGCACTATTGCATAACATCAAATATATATGTCCTCCAATGGCTCAATATGTAAATAATTGCTATGGAAAACCATCTCGTCTCTTTATCACAGGAGGTAAAGAAATACCATCTGCCGAAGGAACGACCCAAGGCGATCCATTTGCTATGCCTGTTTATGCAATTGGAGTTATGCCACTTCTATTATTGATAAAATCAGCTGAAAGCAAGGTAAAGCATGCAGCTTATGCAGATGATCTTGGTGGTGCAGGGACGTTACTTCACTTGATGGGAAAATGTTCTGCACTATGGTCCTTTGATTGGTTATCATCCCAATGCATCAAAATCATGGTTGGTAGTGAAAGAAGAGAACTATGAGCAAGCTTGCAAGATCTTTGGCAATACTCAGATCAATATCACAACATCAGGACGAAAATACTTGGGTTTATATATAGGGACGGCCAATGATAAATCAGAATATGCAAACAAAGTAGTGAATGGCTGGATTGAAGAGTTAAAAGTACTATGTAGAATAGCACGCTCAGAGCCGCATGCAGCATAAACTTGTTTTGTTAGTGGATTTCGTCATAGAATAAATTATTTAACTAGAGTCATCCCTGATTTTTGCAAAGCACTGAAACTGCTCGATGCTTACATAAATGAACAGTTTTTACCGGTGCTAACTGAAGGCTATCACTGCTCCGAAATTGAGCGAAAACTAATCAGTCTTCCGGTACGTCTTGGAGGACTTGGCATACCAATATTTTCTGAGATAGCTCATCAAGAATATGCTTTTTCAAAGAGAGTGACCAGTCAGTTATCAATGAATATCAAGCAACAAGCAACTGAATTAAGGCTTAACAACAATGAAATGAAGAAAACGAAGATTGAAATTGCCCATGAAAGAACAAAATCGCATGAGGAGAAACTTGCACTGCTAAGAGAATCTATGACACTCGATCAACGCAAAGCAAACGAGCTGTCTTGTATGAAAGGTGCGTCTTCATGGCTCACTTCTCTTCCTTTGAAGGCTGAAAATTTTGTTCTCAACAAGCGTGAATTCCACGACGCAATCCGATTAAGATATAGATGGCATCTAAAGTTCATGCCAACTATTTGTGTATGCGGAAAACACTTTTCCGTTGACCATGCGATGTCTTGTCAAAAAGGTGGATACATTCATCATCGACACAATGAAGTACGTGATCTACTCGGCAAGTTAGCAACAGAAATTTCAAATGATGTTAGAATTGAGCCACCTCTACAACATCTCAGTGGTGAAAATCTCCCAAGAAATTCCAACATATCAGAAGAGGCAAGGCTTGACATCAGCATACGTGGCTTCTGGCAGAAGGAACAAAGTGCATTTTTTGATGTAAGGGTATTCAACCCATTCGCACCGTCATACCGAAACCAGAAACTAAACAACACTTTTGCAGGGAATGAAAGAGAGAAGAAACGCGCGTACAGTCAAAGAGTTTTACAAGTTGAGCATGGTTGTTTTACGCCATTGATTTTCGCTCACAGTGGTGGTTCAAGTAGAGAAACTGAAAGGTTTATATCGGTTTTATCAACGAAGATATCAGAGAAACGTGATCTGTCAATTTCACTGGTTACCAATTGGATTCGTACCAAGCTGTCATTTGTGCCATACTGTGCATACGCGGTTCCAGAAATAGGCAAACAAAAGTTCAAGTGGACACAGCCAACATAGAAATTGTAGAAACAATATCCCGGATTGATTAGTTAAAATTGTTGGGAAAAAAAATAAGATTCAAGTTTTTCAAGTTTTGTTCTAAACATGTGTGAACCGGCGGCCTTTCGGTATATAAACAGCGCCAAATGTTGAATCATTGATGATAATTTATTTGTTCAAAAAAAAGTCAATTTAATAATCAATGTAA